GGATTATTGGGATTATTGTGATGTTTTTATCAGCTGTTTGGACTCTCATTCTGACAGCACCCATTCACTCCATTGGTGAGCAAGTGATGTAACGCTGCATTTCTCAAAACCTGTCCCAATGAAGAAACAAACTCATATACATCTTGCATGGCCTGAGGGTGAGTACATTTTCAGCAAATTTTCATTTTTGGGTGAACTATTCATTAAAAAGACACATGATGACACACTTACTGTAATTTACCCCAGGTTTTGATGTCTAAATGTTATTTTATGAAATGCAACAATGCAAACAATGCAAAATTAAAATGTTTTTAACAGCTGTTAATCATTTTGACAGCATTTATTTATGCATTATCGAGAGAAACAACCCAACTTTTGTTTGTTTCTACAAACAAGTCATGCTTAAAGAACCTTTATTGAAACCAGAACATTTCTTTATGAGCGAGACACTGACACAAGCCTCCTGGATTAAGAGGTGAGGTGGAGGATCGGTGATATTAATGAGGATGTTTATTATTAAATGTGCTGATATCTAGGGAATAGAGAATAATCAGGCCATGGATATTGTTCAGCGAACATCTTCAGCCTACAAAAAACATCCCTAAAGCGCTACTACTATACTGAACACTAAACCCAGAATCCTCATGCAAACACATTCTGATACCCAGAAATAAACACAGAAAGCATGAAATACAGAATGCATTGAGCTTTGCGCAAACAAAGATTTGACTCTCACCAGAAACGACATGAGGTGCTTTTGGCTGAGCTGATGCTTCACTGGAGTTCATTTATCCGATTCTGGAGACAGTGAATAACAATGAGTCCATCTGCAAAAACACTCCTGCAGTGGTTTTCTGGCTGTTTCCACGCTACATTTTTCATTGCAAGAAAATTTGCCCGAAAAGCAAAATGTTTTTCGCTTACCTGGCTTTGCTCGGATTTCACTGCGTAAAACACACAGACTTCATCTCATCTTACGCTGCTCCATTAGAGTCCTATGAAGCAAACCATCACCGGAGAAGCTTTCAAGCACATACCAGATTTTCAGGGCTTAAATGGCATTACATATCATCTAGATCCAAAGCATCTCATCTCTATTTTCTAAGCTTACAGAACTATTTCTATAGTTTCTTAATAGTCTGATTTCAAATGCATCTTGTCTGAAAAGCAGCATCCATATTCTGGTCCTGTACTAGACGCCGTGTCCATGAACAGAGCAACCAGAATCAGTGTCTGGCTCTGCTTAAACAACTGTATGAGTCTGATCTCCTCTCTGCTCATGACATCCTCATCATCATCATCTTCATCTTCAGTTATATCACTTGATAGGATGTCATATCTGTCTGGACGCATCAGCTCTGATGACATTGGGAACTACTGTCCATTTTGTGTTGTTATGTAATTAATATTAACGGCATCGAAATGAGTTCATGCTTGCCTGATTACACTTTATATTAAAAAGAAAGAAAATTATTAAATATTATTGAATGTATGTAGCTCAAGATGAGGTCTCTTTGTTTGTTAAACTGCAATTGTAAATAAAATAAATCATGTATATTATATTGGTGCACAATACAGCAAACAAATAGATATGCATAAACATGCGTGCCCAAATTAGATGATATGTTAAATATTAACTATGACATGATCAGAGCAACTGACAGAAGGTGTCCTTCCTAGTCCTTGACAGTGATTGCATGTAGGTTAACAGGGTTAAGAACAAAAAAATATTTTGCAAAGAGTAACGGTGCACTAGAAGGGTCTAAAATAAGCTGGACTTCAATATTAAATCCACCCTGTTTCATATGAATTATGTTTAATGGTGCATTAATGCATTTGGTGACTGTAGTAGAGATTTTTGACATAACATTAATAATGAAGGATTAACATTATTCGCACGTACTACATGACTATTATTTTCCAATATTATGCATAGCAATCATTTTCAGAGTTTGGTGAGAAGCTCAAAGCCAGCTGTAACAAAAACTCACCATTGTTATGCATGTGGATGGAGGTTCTGCTGTAAATTGATTTTGACGGCGGGCGTCAGTTCTGGGCAGTTAACGTTACTTCGGTCACATCACAGTTTTATCGTATGAGGAAAAATCACGCAGCGCCTCTCACATTTACCAATAACATTTCTAAATTGACTTGCCAAAGCTTTTCTTCACAGTCCCAGCTGATCACGCGCCACGCTTGACGTTTCGGAGATATTTACATAATAAAAGTCGCTCTCGCACGCCGTAAGGGTGTGCATAATAAAAACACCATTTCAATAATCATTTAGGATTCAGTTTAAAATTATTAACGATATTTATCCCTGTAATGAGTTCCTCAGACACAGATCTAATTTGGCTTGTAATGAGTTTTGTGAAGCAGACATAGAGTATGCCCCCCCCCCCCCCCAAAAACATT